ATCATTGACAACTTCCTCTTCTTGGTTTTTAAAAAGTCACAATTCCGTATTTTTGTGGAAAGAGGAACTTTTTGCTTGTGTGTGCGTGTGCGTGCGTGTGCGTGCGTGCGTGCGTGCGTGTGTGTGTGTGTTTGTTTGTTTTTTTTTACATAAAATTTATAATAAAAAATATATTCCTATGAAATATGAGATTAAGTTTTTTTACACTGCCAATTATTACAATATTGTTTATATGACAAGTTGAACCAAATACATGCTAATTGCTATTAGGCTCTGTTTAATGTTGAAAACACCCACATTTGACTTTGATTATACAAATAGGGAAACCAATGAGGAAGTAATTTAATATATTTTTAATAAATAATTTGTAATAATATTCATGAAACTATGAGACACCTGCCTATTTAAAGCAAGCACTTCTAAATCATGTGTGCTACACTCTAAAAAATGCTGGGCTAAATATAACCCAATCGCTGGGTCAAAACAACCCAATCGCTGGGTTATATTTAACCCAGTATTTTTTAGAGTTTAGTATGCTTAAGGGAAAAAAATTAGCATCTTTTTATCATTTTAATTTTTATAATACCAGGCTAAAAGTTGATTATTATTATTTTTTTTTTATGAAAAAATTAATTGATAGTAGCATCATGGCTTAATTTTCATTATAATTTCTGCTTTCCTAATACTACACTCTAAAAAATGCTGGGTTATATTTAACCCAGCATTTTTTATAGTGTAGTTTACAATGACATTTTAAAAACACAAAAACGAGGCTTAGGAATTGAGTTCAGAGCCTAGTTTATGCTAGTGAAATAAATATGCCTGAATCTTCTGTTGGCTGTTTGTGACTATCACAAGACGCTGTAAACTTCCATGATTGTCACTTTTTATAGTTTGCTCCTCCATAAAGCATTGTTTTAAAAACTTAATTCCATGCACACCATGTTATTTGTTTCAGGTGAATGTGACGTTGGAAAGAGAAATAGCTGGTGTGTGGTTGAAAATACCATGCCTGGATGAAATAGGAAGTTGTCATTATCCTAATGTCTGTGACCTGCTCGATCAACTCATCCCGCCAGGACAGGACTGTCCTGAGCCTCTGCACACATACGGCCTGCCCTGCCACTGCCCATTCAAAGCTGTGAGTATGTCCCGATTCAGGAGATTTTACTCAACATGCACGTGTTTATGGGTTAATAATGTCTTCTTATCTTGACCAAAAATCCATCGTGCATTTTCAGAGGCATAACATTTATCATATCATTTTCCCAGGGTGATTATTCTTTGCCATCATCAGATATCGTCATACCAGACGTTGAACTGCCTGGCTGGCTGACCAATGGCAATTACAAAGTACAGGGCATTTTAGGAAACTCTGAGAAAGAAATGGGATGCCTCAAAATCAGCTTCTCATTGCATTCCTTGAAGAATTAAATGAAATGTAGCATTTGATTCATCTATAGGACTTTTACTTATGCCTGGTTCAGCCTACACGATTTTAGCCCGATTTTGCCACGATTTGCTTGACGTAGGGTGTCGTGGGGATTCGTAAACGACAATGAGCGTCGGGACGCAAGATTCCATCGTTTCAGCTCGTGTAGTGTGACATAGTGGACGACAACCGATTCCGCGTCTGTGATGCTTCACGACAGAAAGACTAGCATGTTTAATTTTTTTCCTGTCGTCCACGACGAGTTCCGTCACATTGGTGACGTTGACCAATAGCAGCACAGAAGCTCTTTCATACACAGTTTTCAAACATGGCGAGACAGCCAGAACGAAACGTTGAAAGCTGCTTCAGCCATGTTTACACTCTTGTTTTCGGAAGTCAGTCGCTAGTTCCGCCTTCTCGATGACATCACGTGCCGTCTTTAACGACACGCGATGAATGGTCGGGAAGCAAGGTGTAGTCTGACATGTTTCTTGTCCACGACACTACAAGATTTTAGGAGTCAAAATCGTGTAATCTGACTCGGTGACTATCGTGACCGACAAAAATATTGTGTAGTCTGAACCCGGCATTAAGGTTCTCTTTAAATTTTTTGAATGACAAATTTTCAGTCATAATGAGCACATTTCTTTTTAACTAATGAGAAATCTCATTTAATTGTTTTTAAATGATTGGTGGAAGTTGTAAATATTGTTTACATCAGTTTCCTTTATAAACCACTGGACCAAGATTAACTGCACATTTTGGTTTTCCTTTTTATTTTATTACTTATTTTAATTAACGTGACAATGTTTTGTCTGGTTTTAACTGCTGCTTTTGTGATTTGTTTTTGTTCTCTGGCATTAATAAAGTTCAGTGTCAAAGTGAAACTAAATACATTTTCTTTAAAGGGGAAATTTCTGTTTTTTGTTTTTAATAAACATTCAAACATTCAAGTGTTTAGTAGTTACATTTATTGTTTTACATTTTCTCATTGTGTCTGTAATTCTATCTGTGTGTGTGTGTGTGTGTGTGTGTGTGTGTGTGTGTGTGTGTGTGTGTGTGTGTTGATTCATGTAATTAATCGCACATCAATTTTAAAATCTGCCCCAAAATAAGTCATTCTTGTGTTAAATGAGAATAGGCATCAAATAGACATTATAAAAAGTAGCTTTAGAAAGAAATATATTATTTTATTCAACAATTAGAATTTTGAGAAATGTTTGTTTGTTTTTTGGGGTTTTTTTTTATTTATTATTATTTGTTCAAAACACAGATTCATTTAGAAACTAAACACTGCTTTGTGTTGCTCGGAGATGCACAACCATTCTGCTGTTGCTTTAATAATAATAATTTTGTGATATTTTCTTTATCAAAATTGAGTAAAAACAGACAATATTGTCTCTAAACTATAACAATATTAACATCTAATTTAAAACAACTGTTGTATGAAACAGACTAAAATATCAATCTTGGGATTTAAGAATCAATATTTCAAGTTATGTTCTGCACATGCAGCGTTTAGAACATTTGTTCGGTACCGAACCGAAAGACCCATACTGAAAATATGAATGTACCCTTCTAGAAACGAATTAGGGAAAAAAAGTCAAACATTTAAAGCACTAAAACAGCACCTACCTGTAGCTAAGTGTGTCTGTTGTTATAAAAAAGAGCAGAGTGGGAAATAACAGACATAACCTGTATTTAGCTGCCAGTCACATTTTCAGTAAGCCACCAATAGGAGTTCAAGGAAGATGCAAAGCAACCAACAGCATGGTTGAATAGGCTGAGATACAAACAGCCACTAACCTACACATGACTATAGCAGGTTGCGTGTGTTTTTCCAAGTAAAAAACAAATGTTAACCATAAGTTAACATATTCCACGGTGTGCATAGCTAAGCCACATGGTTCTCAGTTGTGTGCTCTCATCTGGGGCCATATACCTCAATACAAATAGTCCTCCAAAAGAAAATTCACACCAATTTTAAAGGCACGGCAAAACCCCTATGGTGAAAGTTTGGCCCATATGTGTTCAGCCGTGCCATATCAAGGCCAAATGTGACAGTTATATCTGCCACATTTGGCCCAAAAGTTAGTGTTACCTGAGCACTTATGCGATATTGCTTAACTATATCATATGATACATGACACGAACTCATACACGGACATTTTTTCCCCAATATCTTGAATTTTAGGGGCATATAACTGCAATCTATAGGCTACATCTCACAGTGAGTTGTCCTGTATCCTGTTTTTCACCAATCAATGTATGAAATGTAAGATGTTTTTAAAGGGTTTTCATGGTGCTGTGTGAATCAGCCTGTAGAGGTCGCTGCATAACACTGTATAAATGTTTTCATAAATGCCAAAAAGAGCATATGCTGGTTAAGTATGTTTTGAAGCATGGCTGCTGGTTTAAGATGGTCTTTAGCTGGTTTGAACTGGTTTAAGCTGGTCATGTGCTGGTCCTAAGCTGGTCCTAAGCAACTAGCTCCTGCTCAGGACCAGCTTAGGACCAGGTCATGTCATGACCATCTAAGGACCAATTTAAAACAGCTCAAAAACAGCATATGCTGTTTTTTTCAACAGGGTCATTACCATAAGGAAGGAACTTGGACGACAAACAGTTCCTAACGTGTCTTTGATATGGGATAGATCACATTGGTGTTTCAGAGTATTCATTTCTTTAACTTTAAGTAAATACATCTTAGATAATTAACCAAAAATTAAAGGTGACACTTTCTGTATCAACCGTGCAAAATGAAAAGCTGCATTTCTGTGTTTCTGTTCTCTTTAAATAAATAAATAATAATAATCAAAAATGTTTCTTGAGCAGCAAATCAGCATATTAGAGTGATTTCTGAAGGATCATG